GGGTCCTCCTTGTTGTTTAGCTTCTTTCGGACTACAGATTTTATAGTCCTGATGAGACCTGATGGGCTAGGATCAGATAGTAGGGCAGGAGAACCTCCCTTAACAGTGGACTAGAGTAGGGGCATAGGGGGAGAAGAGGAAGGGAAAGTGGGACTGGGAGGAGACGAGGGAGGGGGCTATAGCCAGGTTACAAAATGGATAAATTGTAATAAATAATAAATAAATAATTTTTTAAAAAAATTTAACAAAAGGAAAATGACAACAACAAAAAAGAGACTCAGGACCTCACAGAGCAGGAAGGGCATAGAGAACAGGAGCTGAGAACACTGTAGGGAGAGGCAGCTCAGGGCTGCCCTGCGGAGGTCCACCTTCCGCACATATGTAAGCTCTCAGTGCAGGGATAGATGGTGACCTGCTGCCTGCCAAGCTCTCCCCACAAGGCAGGATGCACTGTCCCAACTGCAGAGAGAGCTGTCAGCAGCCACCTCCAGCTGTCAGGCCTCTCAGCCCTGCCCTTGTCCAAGGTCACCCACTTCCCAGGCGCATCACTCTCTGTGCCTGGTGGTGGATGGATGCAGGATAAAGGCTGAGCCCCTTTAGCCAAAGAAGAGACATGGAGACATCAGATCTGGCTCCTGAGTCACTGTCTGCCCTGCCTGGGCCCATCCTTGCTTTCTCTCCCTCCACAGGTGTTAATTTTCAATGTGATCCCCATAAAGAACTCAGTCTCAGAGACAACATCCTAGGAAAGCAGCCTGTGACAGCCTGCGCAGGCTTAAGTCTTACCATGTATCAGGACCACTGCTATTTCCCTGTCTTAATTTCTTATAAGCCTTACACATCTCTCTCTGACAGACTGCTAGGTCTGGGGATCTTTCACCGTAACGAAAGGACAGCAGAAGGGGAAAACAAAGCAGGAGACTAAAAGTCCTACATTATGAAAGTCTAGAAGGAAAAGGAGGGTTAATGAGAAAAAGTCCTTCACGGACTTGGTGTTGGGGAAAATGTTTGATAGTTGATGGATGGAAGTATCTGGGTCAAAGGGGTTGATATTGGTAATAAAATAGGTTTTGAGATGAGTGACTAAAATTATGAATCGACTCCCCATTGGTGGTTTTCGAGAGACACAAGTAAATATTGGAATCACTTTTTAATTACTCCTGAGTGCTGGGTGTGCGTTTAATATTCGCCTCCACACAGACTGCAAGGCCCTGGCTTTTATTGGGTGTATTAGTCAGGGTAATTAACACTAGCTGTTTTAATACACAGCCCCAAATCTCAGAGGCTTAATGTCATAAAGGTTTGTTCTCACTCTCACATGGCAGACAGTTGGGTTGGGTGGAACCCTTTGGCAACTCTCTTATAAGCAGCCCATCTCGGAGTGACTTTATTTTCTAATGTGTGGATCTGAGTTCATGTGTGTATGGAGGGGATGCGTGTAACGTGTGTGGGCATGTGTGTGGAGACCATGGGTCAATGTCAGGTGTCTTCCTTAATCACTCTCCACTTTGTTTTCAAGGCAGTGCATTTCACTGAACCTAGAGTTCACCTATTCAGCAAGACTGAATAGAAAATCAGACAGAAAATCAAACTGTCTCTGCCTCTCCCATGCCAGGATTACAGTGTCACACCCTGCTGATACTCCCGTGTTAGGGAATGAACTCAGGTGCTTGTGTTTATACAACAAACTGTTTGCCAACTGAGCCATCTCTCCTGCCCTTGCCAGCAATTTAAATGTGCTACCTAGATAGTTGCCCTGCCTTTGAGTGTCTCTGCTATCCAAGCAGCTGCCTGCCTGTTGCCTTCTTCACCTCCCTCAACCTTCCCCACCTTGCCTATGCCCTGGGAGGCACATCCTTCTGAACTGAGAAGGCAAAGGGTCTCTTGACTATGGCTTCCAGTTGAAGTTGCCCTCTTGGCATCCTGGTGGGAGATAAAGGGAGGTGGCAGGTCATGTCTTCAGCTTCCTCTTCATCAGGTGGCATGGTGAAGGATGACACTTGACAAAGAATAGTGTTTTCTGGCCCATTCTCAACACCTCCCACCCTCTCTTTGTTCAACCAATCTTATTGCTCTTTTTCAATGTCTCTGGTCTTCATAGATCGTGTGCATGCCTTCATAGAAGGCCCTTTAAGTAAACATCTTTGGCTGGTTCCAGTATGAAAGTGCCCTTAGAAATAGACCTGAGTCTGTACTCATGAATTGACTAAAGACATTATGATGGATGGCGATTAGATATAAAAAAGACAAAATCTACCCCATTATATTTGTTTGCGTGGTACCTTTGGCCATGACATGGTCCAGTAGGAATGATTTCATCAAATGTGGTTAGCCCTCTAAAGAGCATGGACCAAAACCACTTACCTTGTTTATAATTTACTCAGACTCTGGTATTCTGCCATAGCAGTAGAAAACAGATTAAGAACACATGTATACACATCTAAGATTGCCATACATATTTTGTTTGTTAGCCCTTTAGTTCCTATGTAATATTCTGGGTTTCTTCTGATAATTTTGTTGTTGCTGTTTTTAAATTATGTTTAATCTACTGTTAATATGACTATTCTTGCTCAGTTTTCTTTTGCTCTATGGTATATCATTTACCATCAATTTACTTTCAACTTACCCATGTTACAGTTGAATTAAGATCTTGCTGACAGTAAACAGTTGTATTCTTTAAAACATCTATGTCAGTCTCTGTTTCAGTTATTTATTTAGACCATTTATATTTAATGTAATTACTAATATGCTAGAGTTTAAATCTACCTTTTTGTTTGTTCTTTTCTCCCTCAATCGTCTCATTCCTAAAACTCTAAGTCACTAGAACATTCTTTTTTATTTTTTATTTTTTTTTAATTCTTTATTACATTTTATTCACTTTGTATACCCCCTGTGGTTCCCTCCCTCCTCCTGTCCCAATCCCTCCCTTCCTCCCCCCTCTGCACACGTGCTCCTCCCCAAGTCCACTGATAGGGGAGCTCTTCTTTTCCTTCCTTTGCATCCTAGTCAATTAGGTTTCATCAGGAGTGCCTGCATTGTCTTCTTCTGTGGCCTGGTAATGCTGCTCCCCCCTCAGGGGGAGGTAATTAAAAAGCAGACCAATCAGTTCATGTCAGAGACAGTCCCTGTTCCTATTACTATGGAACCCACTTGGATACTGAACTGCCATGGGCTGCATCTGTGCAGGGGTCATAGGTTATCTCCATGCATGGTCCTTGATTGGAGTATCAGTCTCAGGAAAGACCCCTGTGCTCAGATTTTTTGGTTCTGTTGCTCTCCTTGTGGAGTTCCTGTTCTCTCCAGATCTTACTGTTTCCCACTTCTTTCATAAGATTCTCTGCACTCTGCCCAAAGGTTGGCCATAAGTTTTAGCATCTGCTTTGATAATCTGCAGGGCAGAGCCTTTCAGAGTTCCTCTGCATCAGGCCCCTGACTTGTTCCCTCTTTTCTCCTTTTTCTGACGTCCATCCTCTTTGCCCTTCTGGATAGGAACTGAGCATTTTGCAAGAGTCCTCCTTCTTGATTAGTTTCTTTAGGTGTACAGATTTTAGTAGGTTTATCCTATATTATATGTCTATATGAGTGAGTATATATCATGTGCATCTTTCTGCTTCTGGGATAGCTCACTCAGGATGATCTTTTCCAGATCCCACCATTTACCTGCAAATTTCATGATTTCCTTGGTTTTTTATTGCTGAGTAATATTCCATTGTGTATATGTACCACAATTTCTGTATCCCTTCCTCCACTGAGGGGCATCTGGGCTGTTTCCAGCTTCTGGCTATTATAAATGGGGCTGCTACAAACATGGTTGAGCAAATGCCCTTATTGTATACTTGAGACTCTTTTGGGTCTATGCCTAGAAGCCAATGTGATGTATCTGTAGTTTTTTCCAGTTTCTCTCTTTGTGTAACTTTCTTGATGGTTGCTTTAAATATCACATTTGCCCACACCGTTTCTCATGTCTCCTGATGCAGAAATTCACCTATTCAAAAGTAATGAGGAAATAATTCCCCCTCAAGTCCCTTTACTAAACTCCTCTACTTACATCATTGACTAGTTCTCCTATATACACTGAAACCATAAAAGACAATGGTTTTTACTTCAACCACTAGATATTATGAGAAAATTAAGTTCAGTAAGGTAAGACTTATTTTTCTCAAATTGTATTCTTCTTTCTTCTCTTATCAAGTTCAAATACAGCATTTATGTTTTCTTCATGCTTTAGAGAATTCTCCTTGGCCACTTCTTTAGGCTAGGTTTACTGGTGACAAAGACTCTTAGTCCTCCTTAATCTTAAAACATATTCATTGCTCTCTTATTCATAAGGGCTATTTTCACTGGACATAAATTTCTGAGTTGATAAATCTTTTCTTTAGCCATTTTTAAAGTACTGTACTTTTCTTCCTGGGGTCCATGGCTCTCATTTAGATTATTTCCCAACTCAAGGTGGAGATAAGACAAATTTTCTCCTCTGGTTCTTTCTAAGGATGTTTCTTTGTTCTTGGTGTTTAAGGAGTTGTGATGAGCGTCTTACATAATCTCTATGGGACCGTGCTGGGTTGCATTGCTCAGTTTCTTCATCACAAATATCATAACTTGAAAAATGTGGGAGATTCTCAGCCATTTCATCTTCTTCCTCTTTTCCTGTTCTTCTACAACTGTGATGTGTCTTCTTACTGGGGCCTTTAGAGCTTTGAGCTCTTCCTCCTCTGGGCTCTTCTAACTCTATTTTTCAGATTAAGTCATTTATATTATCTGTCCCCAAGTTCACTGGTGCTTTCTTCTTCCCATTCTGCTGTTGGGTATATCTATTTGAAAATTCCGGTTATTGATTTAAGTCCCATACTTCCATTTGGTTCTTCTTTCTACTTTCATTGGTTTTCTCCTGAGACTTTTTGCTCCTTTGGTGAAACTTTTTTATCCATTTTCTTTTTTCTGAACTTGGTCATGATTGCTCACTGAAACATTTTTCTCCTTCTTTCTTCTTCTTTCCAAATCCATGTATCCTCATTCACAATACAGACCAGACACAATGGCTTGGGCTTAGCTGTATAGGTGGTCAGTTTACTCTGCCTCCTCTCTATATACAGTCAGCATAAGAACATAGTATGTGGTGAGCATGTAAGCACTTGTGGTAAGCACTTGTATGTGGTAAGCACTTGTCATGGCAGCTATAAATTCCTCAGATAACTTCCAGGTCTGTTTACCTGGATGTTGATTTCTCTCAACTTTTTCTTGTTCCCCTTGAGAAGAGAATTCCCTAGTTCTTGATAGGATGGGGGACTTTCAATTGTATCTTAGACATTTTCACTCCTATCTAGTGAGATATAGGGATTTACTTAATCTTCTGCCTCAGCAGGCACTTCTGACATGCCAATTCCACACTACCTTCATTATCAGCCAGTGGTAAAAGTCCAAGTTTCTTGCTGTGTTTTTGTCTGGGAGCAAGGGTACCTGGCTACTGACAGATGATGAGACTTTGGGTTCATCACTATGCCTCTGTCTTAGTTAGGGTTAATATTGCTATGATGAAACACTGTGACCGAAGCAACTTGAGAAAGAAAGGGTTTATTCAACTGATACTCTCCCATCATAGTTCATCATCAAAGGAAGTCAGAACAGGAACTCAAGCAGGAAGGGAACCTGGAAGGCAAGAACTGTTGCAGAGGCCATAGAGTGGTACTGGCTTGCTCCTCATGTCCTGCTCAGTCTGTTTTCTTATAGAACCAAGGATCACCATCTCAGGGATAAGACCACCCACAACGGTCTGGGCCCCCTCCCATTAATCACTAATTAAGAAAATGTCCTACAGCCCGATATTATTGAGACATTTTCTCAACTGAGGCTCCCTTCTCTGATCACTCTAGCTTGTGTCAAGTTGACATGGAACTAGAAAGTACAGACTCTATTGCTACCACCCTGGTCGAGGTGGGGCACCTAATCTCATTATTGTAGTATTATGGCAATGGCAATATACTGTGTATATTAACTACTTCTCTCGTTGCTATAAGTAAATATTGTACAAGCATCAATTAAAGGGAAGAACAGATTATTTGGGCTCACAGTTTGAAGAGGCACAGTCCCTCATGATGGGGAGGGATGGACAATTGTGACTCTAGGAGCTTAAGGAACCCCACTCACTTCTCAGAAAACCAGGAAGTAGAGAAGGGGGAAGGCTGACACTCAGCTGCCTTTCTCTTTTTCCCACTACAGTCAGCTTAGGAACCACAGCCCATGGGATAGTGCTACCTACATTCAGGCTGAATCTCTTTCCTCCTCAATGGGGCCTCTCTGAAAATAACATTCATGGACATATCCAGTCAAGATAACAAGGACGATCAGTCATCACACTGTGTACACTCTGTGTGTGTTAAGGAGACAATATTTTAAACCAAGCAGTGGTTTCCATTCAAATGGCACACACAGAAAAGTCTTTCTTCTCCATGCACCCAGGCCTGGGCTTCTGTCCTGCTCCAGATCCTCACGTCTGTGCAGCACAGAGAGCTGTTTTTCTCTGTGGCTTTTTGGCAGATGATGGGAAGAACCTACAGCACACCTCAGGAGGGTGTGGAGGACATGCTCGATTCAGGCTAATGCACCCCTGAGACTAGGAAGACAGTCTGTTGATAAACAAGACCCCACAAATGGATGCAAATCAATTAGACGCTTCCATGTGGTAACTCTCCTATAGAATGCTCTGCAGGTGGCTGTCATTTGAAGCACTCAGAAATATCATAAAATCCATTCCCAATCTTGGGTCCTGCTGAGCCTCTGTGGCTTCCAGCAGTGTGACCTGGACTTTAAGGAAGGTGCTGGTGGCAGCTGTGGCATTTTACATCTTGAAATGGCTTTAGGTGAAGTAAAGGGAACACCACATATCAGGCGAGACCCAGCAACACTGGGAGACTGGGTGGCCGCAGGTGCTGCCCAGACTGGACTTCAAAGCCCAAAGCACGTGACTTGATTTTCTCTCATCCCACCCACACCCGCTAGTATAGAAGCACTCACCTCGTAGCCTCGTTCTGCAATCATGTGTCAAGCTTCTGCTCTACACAGCATTGCACTATGCACACACTGAGAAACACCAGCCAGTCAAATGAGAATATGAACCACTGATCTAGTTGGAGACAAACTTGCCACGTATCTGTGGCACCTATACTCCTATTCCGATGCCTCGCCCACAAAGACATAATTAACAAACAACACCACAATGCACCACTGGTTGGATTTGGCTTCAGACTTTTCCTGGATTCACTACCATCCAATGGCAGGTGGCCCACAGGAGGGAATGCGTTTGCCACCTGTTCAGGTTAAAGCTGTGTGCTCAGCTCCAGCTCTGTTCACTTGTCTCCTGGAAGCTCCCAGAGTACAGAGCACTTGTGTTCCTGAGAGCTGATGCCTGTGTTCCTGAAATACTGGCGGCAGGTGGGCACAGTGGATTTATGCTTTCTGCGAATTCTCCATAAAAACTGACACTTTAAAGTCACTCAACCAGAATGTCTGTCATACGATATTGTTTTTGGTTTCACCAATACATTTTCAAGAGGCGATCTACAAACTGGAGAAAAGAGCTGACAGTTTAATGAGTGGCTTTCATTAAAAAAAAATGTTCAGAAATCATGTAAATGGACAGTCTCAGGCTTCCTTGGGAAAGCCTGACTGGTTCAGGGATGGCACAGTTAATGGAAAATGAGCAACCTGGTGTCTCACATGTGTCCTTTCCTTCCAACCTGGGGTGGAGGTAGGGGCTCTGAGGTGTGAACTACAGAAAGTGGCAATAATCTGAATAGTTGCTCTATTGGGAGGCCCTAGAATTTCCTCTAAAAACCCATGCTCTAAAGGACATAGTCTTCCCAGGGATGCTAAAGAGAGTACCTGTAAGAAGGTGGGGCCTTGTAGAAGTAAATTACGTCATTTAGGGTCATGTCTTTGAAAGCAATAGTCTTCCACCACATGTCCAATGATACTCAGTGCCACCACAGACCCAAACCAACAGCACTGAGTGAGTGACTTCTGCCCTCCAGGACCAGTTTCCACCACCCTTCAGTAGGTCATCCATTTACTATCTGTGAATGTATCAACTCACACCTGAGCTCAGAGCCCTCATGGTCAAACTATCTCCCAAATGCCCATCTCTACACACCGCTGTCCTTGAGGCCAAGCCTCCAACACAGAACAATGGGAGGACTGTTAGGAACTAAACTGTAATCTAGATCTTCGTGGTGGGGCTGTTGTGGTAATCCGAGCTAAGAAACTCACTGCTTTGCTGCAGGCAGTCAGGATGGTCCCCAGAGGGAGACTATGAAGAAGCCGATTCCAAATACCTGCTGCAAATGCTGAGGAAATTCAGCTCTACCTCTGTGATGAAGTTGTTTCTGCCTTTCCATGAGCCATTGCAGTGATCTCAGTGAGACTGGCTCCCCACAGGCTTTTACAGTTTGAATGCTCAGTTCCCGGCTGATGAACTGTTCAGGGAAGTGGGGTTTTGGTGGAGGACATGTGTCCCTGAGGGTGGGCTTTGAGGTTTTCAAAGCCTACACTAGGCCCCGTGTCCCTTTCTCACTCTGCCTGCTGCCTGTGCATCTTGGCGTAAGCTCTAACACCATGCCTGCAGCCATGCCTCTGCGACGATACTCAGAGACTCACTCTCAGAAACTGCAAGCAGTCCCCCAACCAAATGCTTCCTTCTGTAAGCTGCCTTGGTCATGGTGTCTCTTCACAGCAATGGAATAGTCACTAAAACAGCCACCGATCCCCTGTCATGCTGCTGGCTTAACACCTGGCTGTAGCAAATGCCAGCTCCGCAGTTCTTTGTGGACTGTGGATTACTTCAGCTTGATCCTACTTCCCTTCTCCCTCCCTCTTCCTCCCTCTGTCCTTACCTCATTCCCATACTTTCTCCTCTTTCTTTTTCTACTTCCACTTTCCCCCTTCACTCTTTCTCCTTTCTCCCATCTTTGCTTCCTTTTTTCTTGCCTTCCTTTCTCCTTACTTTTCTTTTTCCATTTATTCTCCCTTTCTTAAATTCTTTCCCCTTTCTTCTCTCTTATTTTTTTCTTTCCTCTTTCTTTCTACACCTTCCCTCTTTTCCTTCTCCTCTCCTCCTTCCTCTCTCTATCCATTTAATGACTCCCATGGCATCCATCACCATATATCTATTTACTCTGTATTTTAGCTAATTCAAATTAGTTAGGCACAGTCCAAGATGGAATGTGGAAACCTCCACCTGTGGGAGTGCATGGGCCTGGTGGCCTATCTTGGCATCTCTGATATCAGCATGGCCTATCTTGTTCCTCCTTTAGAGGAAACCCTGGAGTTTGGGCTGGGAGGGCCTGCTAGGAAAATAGAAGTGTGTCTAAAAACATAGCAACACCATAGAGTGGCGTTGCATGCCCTCGTCCTTGAACTTATATGGTGTCTGGACCGGAGTATGCAGTTTGGCCACCATTTCTCAAGATGGTGTCAAATGAGAGTCTTGTAGAAGCTGAGGCCACTCCTCCTCATGAGTTGTAGTGGCTCTTTACGGACAGTGGTTGTGACTGTGACAGGTGCTACACAGGGCCTGAGTCAGGCCAAGAATAATCAGGTTCACCATATAGGTGGTGCCCTGCCATGTCTTCTAATTTACAATTCAGGAATGGGTCCCACTTCGGAGCCTTTAAAGCTCCAAGCCCTACAGGCAATGTCCTAAATATGACTTCCCCACCAGGAAGCAGCAAGAGGGGCCTTCACTAATAAGTCTGGTTCCATAGTACTTGGTGATCTATTACCTGGATATAAAGGAGTACTGGAAAGACAGAGACAACCCATTAAAGCTTCTCCAAAGGACCCATCTGATTGAAATAGCATGTGCCTGAACCCATGGTGGACACGTAGGAAGCACAAGATCATTAATCATTTAATGGAATCGAAAATATCCATTTAAGAAAGAAAGAAAAAGTCAGGCCCAGAAGTTTGTGAGAGAGATTTCTACCAGAGCAAAGTGTTTCAGGGATCAAAACAGTAGCAGGAGCAGAAGGAGCTAGCACATTCTGTGCACACAAGAGATGAGGGTCCAGACAGGAAGCTCTTCCCCCTCTTTCTCCAGCCTTCATCTCATCTGGTCTCTCTCTCTCTCTCTCTCTCTCT